TTGCGTAAACTGAGATTCTTTCGCCGCTCATGATCGATTCCCTTCTGAAGATGCATCATTGCTCGGCTCGCTTTATCAAGATATCGCCTCATGTGCTCCTTTTCCTTCTGCAAAACGAATCATAACAGTTCCGTCAATATCATGCATTACTGGTAAATTTATAGTTGTTGTTGCTCTGTCCTATTAACAACGGGTGAAGGGGTATTCAGTGACAGCCTCAGTAATTCCGGATGGATTATGAAAAAACTAGGCCTGATGCAATTTGTGTAAACGAAAAAGTAAAAGCTGACAATGAAGTGGCTGAAGTTAGGGAAAGTCATGCACTTTTTTTTGCCAATTTAAAATCAAGTCCAGTGAAGGGCACACCGCTAACCAGTGATCCAACAACTCTTCTCAGTATTCTAATCGCTAAAACTCGATTTTCAACGTCAATTTCGCTTTTCGAATTGTGAAAAGTCCTCCGTTATTAAACTGAGTTCATAATCAAAATTCTATCATTTCGGCTGGATATAAAAAGCCCTTAATGTATCGGCGAAGGAAAGTACAATATGACAGTGACACACTATCACTATTAACCAGCCAATTTTATAAAACGGCAGAAAGCATGTTAGATGCAAAGATTCTGTAGTCTCCTGCAAACAAAAAATAATGAGAACTGAACAAACCTGCAAAGCAATAACTTGCCCCTTGAAATATTGACGCTCTTCTTTTAATCGTTTTCTCAACTTACGTATCTCAGTTTCATATTTTTGTACCTAAAAATCGATGAATAGTGAGGAAACTTTATAAAACGCCATATATGAAGAACTATTCAAAAGAAAAAAAAACATTTATTGAATAAATTGAGTGACTACGCATGCAACATATCATAAATCGATATAAGTGATATGAAGATGAGAAGTCGCGTCATTTTCTTTATCAAAAGAATAGATGTGTCAAGAAATATGAACATCAGGATCGAACAGTCCCGCACAGATCGGTCCAGCTTTTGGAGGCATCTTAATAATAATGCTAACATGGCCACCCCACACGGCATTTCCGGGCAGTCTTGGTAAAGGAATGTGTTTCTAAAAAATTATTTTCTAACAAAATTTTTTCAAGCAAAATTTCGAGAGCGCAATTTTCGCTGAATCTAATAATTGTCTTTCTATCAACCTAAACATATACTTTTCTTCTCCATTTCTAATGCAGTAAATATAATTTAAAAAGTTATACTTAATCATAGATCGTCGACGAATCGAAATTCATTCAGTGACACAAGTGATTTACCTGAGCTTTGTAATCGGCATTAGGATCGCTCTCCGCAAATGCTGTGCTTGCACCTTGTGAACTGTCTGTTGGACTTGGATCAGCACTGCCATATTCCGAAGTTTTTATCTCGCTATCAGGATTTTTTATGTCTGCCGTCGATATCGCAGCAGCTCTGGAATTATCAGAAATAAAATAGTGCAGAAAGAAAAGGCTTTCCACGATAATCGACCCGAGCACTTCAACCACATGACAATATGGCAATGGCTTGAGCGGTGATCAGCGAGGGCTGTATTTTGTCGAAAAGATGTCACACCACGTTTTATTTGATCAGTAGCAGGGATTTCTTAACAAATGGAGCAAATAGAGGGCATCCAAGCCGTTTTATTGCCCCAAAATAAGTTGAAATCGTATCTTAACAATCTCAGTGATGATTCCCTTTCTACTAGCACTGACCAGTCCCTGTGAAACTACCGATAGTTGCATCATCGACGCTTCAATGAAACAGATAATTCGATTTGATAAATTATTTTAAGCATACACGCGGTATCTTTATTTAACGGAGATGGCTTTGCACTTCACCAACTCGGCAAATATACCACTGCATACAAGTGAATCAAAGCAAAAATCATCGGATATGAAAATAATGGAAACGAACTTGCTACCGATTGAATCGACTATCTTCTTGCCAACGTTAAACGCGATCTTGGAAGGAAAAACCGATACGCCTCCTGGACACGATCTTGACTGCTTTCCTTTCTTCGGAGCTGTAATTACAGAATATGGCGCTGATGGCCGTGACCATGAAGCACCACTTATATAAATAGCCTCCTTATCGGCACGCCACGATGGTACAGGTGAGCAGCAACGCAACGAACGACGTGAGCATTCTTTTCGATTCTGCAAGATAATGAAATTACACATGATTTTCGTTTTCTGGCAACAATATCACAAAATGTGTAATTTAGCAGTTCAAAAAAAATAAAAATAAACAGCAACGCGCATCAGACTAGGCGGTGCGATCATGCGTTTTGTGCAATTCAGCCCATCGAACGATTGCCTATTAATGAT